CGGAGATGGGAGCAGCCTGGAGAGGAAGCTCCTGCCTCAGCTCTGGGCCGCCTTATTGTGTACCTTGTGTATATGACTATGTGTCTGTGTTTGGTTTTGCCTTCCTTTGGGATATTTATCTCTTCCTTATTCCCTGGTAGTTTTAAAGGCTAAAACTTGCTTCTAATGTGTGTGGTGAGAAAAAGTCAAGGGATTCAAAGGAATCAGTGAAATTTCCAAGATTAGGAATTTTCCCCGCCCCACCCTAGAGCCTCTGAGGCATCTACATTCTCACAAGACTCCTGCTAATGTGGGTGCTGAGGGCCTGTCACCCACCCTAGGGAGCTTGAAGGTGGGTCTGACCTCTCCTGCCTGCATTTCCCTCTGGCAGTTTCTCCCTTCCCTCCTTTTTTTACTAAAGGATTGACTGACACGAAGCAGCTTGCTGCTAGGAACAGGAAATGTATTGAGGAATTTAAATCTGCATGGAATGAATTCAGATCGCATCAAAGTATCCCTGCACTTACTGGACAGGAGATGCTCAGAAATGCCTGCTTTTCTTTTCCCCCTTTGCTATTAAAAAAATTAAATATAAACTTTTCCACAAAACAGTTTTTGGGAGTACATATTTATTGTATAGGATGACTGTACATATGATATGATGTGTTTACTTCCTGTATCCCAGGGTGTTTTTCAGGGAAGGAGCTGTTTCTGATTGGGAGGAGTTTTCTTTCTCCCATCTCACATAATTCAGTGAAATAAATCAAAATCAGATGTGCATTTTTGAGTGGCAATCAGATGGATTTTGATTTTTTTTTTTCACTCTTCTTTAAACTGGTACATCTGGGTAACTCAGGCTTGTGTATCTTGGCATCCAGGCCTGTCTAGTAATAGAAGACAAACTGTTTGACTTGTTTTGGCTGCCTTTTTGGACCTATTTCACCGTACCCTTCCTTTTTACATTTGAAGGACTGGTCAGGAGGAAGAAAACAAATATTAAAGACAGTGTTTACACTTTGTGGTTTGAAGTCAGGTGAGCGATAATTACAGCCTTTGAAGCTGATGACCAGAGGACCATCATTTGATGACTTGGGGATTAACAGTTTAGAGGTGACATGTTTGAAAGAAAGAGGGTTACATAAGGAGGTACAGATAGGGAAAAGGAAGTTTGGGAAAAGGCTGTGCCAGAAACCTTGGGAGGATAATAAATTAAACAGCCCTTTAAAGTAATTGTTGTGGCTTGTATCTCTCAGCAGGACGGTGAAAATGAAAGCAGGCTGTAGCATCGTGGAAAAGCCAGAGGGAGGTGGAGGTGAGCAGGTGTTAAATCAACTCTGATATACCTGGAATGTCCCTCACTGGCTCCTTTTCTCTGCTGTTGGGCTCTTCCTACTCCACAGATGCCAGGCACAACTGATACCTCTCAACGGGTGGATGAGTACTGTCAGGACAGTTGAGGGCTTGTTCTCTGTGGATGAATGTTTAACGTGTCTGGTCACCACTCCCTCATCCCAAGTGTTGTCTCTTTCCTGTTAGAGACACAGTTCCAACTTTTCAACTGTGTTTTCCTAAAACAGTAGCTTATCTTTCCTGTTTATTTCCTTTGGAACTTTAATGCCCTCATAGAAGTAGGCCTGAGATTTAAAACATATAAAGGAGTAAGTGATCGGGACATCTGGGTACTACTACCCAACTCTCAGATTTAATGATTGTCAAAGCATGGAGGTAACTTCTCCATGCTTCTCTCCCTGCTGTGGTGAGCCCCAACCCTGACTGAAAGGGTGTTTGTGGTATGTTTGCATAGCACTAGAGATCCTGAACATTGGAATGTGAAGTCAAGATACTGGTATGCATGTACCTAGCCCCTGACTATCTTGATCTTGCCCTTTTCACATTAAAGGGTATCAGTTTCCTGACTGGGCCTATAAAACAGAGTCCTCCCCCGGCTCCCGGCAGATCCAGCTGTGGCACTTCATCCTAGAGCTGCTGCAGAAGGAAGAGTTCCGCCATGTCATCGCCTGGCAGCAGGGAGAGTACGGGGAGTTTGTCATCAAGGATCCAGATGAGGTGGCCCGCCTCTGGGGCCGCAGGAAGTGCAAACCACAGATGAATTATGACAAGTTGAGCCGGGCCCTCAGGTAAGAAAAAGAATTCCCAAATCCATGGTGTTAACAGATTAGCAGGAGACTAAGCAGTTTGGTGACTATTAGATAAAAAGGATATCAGGTGATAAGAGGCTATACTAGCTAAGTGAATAATGTGTAACATTGAAGTGGGAGTAGAAGAGCTGTTGAATCTGAGTAGCACAGGCACAGGAGGAGAAAAGGCATATCTTTGGTTATATGTAGGAGGGAATTCCAACGCGGTTGGCACTGGATCCTGACAGACAACTGATTCTGCTCAGTAGTGGGCGGTAGTGTATGGTGAAACATGGATTGGAGCTCATTTATGATCCAGAGGATTAGTTTAGACTTCCCTGTTGGAAATCTATTAGAATTTCTCTCTTTAGGCTCTCCTGGAAAAAACTGGGAAAAGTGAAGCAAGTACACAGGACAGGAGTTCACTGAATGCTACTCACCTGACGCTTTTGGAACCATATCTGTGGGCTCAGCTGTCAGTTCATAGGTTGCTAAAACACATCTAAAGAATGATCACTTTAAGTTTTCTCAGGTTCTCTTTTCCCCTTGTCAATCTTTACATTTCATAACCATTTAGCCCTCAGAGAGCCAGAAGGCAGTTTATAATCTCTGCTACTGAATAGAAACGAGGATAGAGGTTCTGGGTCCATTGAATTTCCCCTGCTTTTCTTCTTTATTTGTGAATATAAAATCTGTGTCACAGCTTTGCTGAGCCTCTCAGTCCTCTGAGAGTGGAGCAAACCAAGCTCACTACTGTCTCCCAAATCAGGGTGTACCATTGTTTGACCTGCCACCATAAAAACAGCTCTACATTCCTTTGTGCCTTGAATTAAGGCCTCGAGACTAGTAACCACATCAGGTCTCTCAGGAGACTTGTCTGTCCCCATCTGGGTAAGGCAGAAAAGAGAAACCAGGCAGTTAGTGGCATACAGTAGAACAGGAAGGAAATACACTATAGAATTGAAGTTGTAAGATGGAGAAGAGTGGCTGGGTCAGGGACAGATGTTCATGATCTTAAAATGAGATTGTCGTTATAAAACTCTAGCCAAGGACTAGAACTTGATTGAAAATTGAATGGGAAAAGTATACTCTTAGGTTCCCAGCCTTAGGGCAAGACTACAAAAGAATGATAGTGATGTTTGTAATACATATAGCAAGAATTGTTCATCATGGTTACCTAAGTGGATCCAAAATTGTCAGTAACTAGAAAATAAATTAACATGCATTCCTGTTTTTACAGATACTATTACAATAAGAGGATCCTTCATAAAACAAAAGGGAAACGATTTACTTACAAATTTAACTTCAACAAGCTGGTGATGCCCAATTACCCATTCATCAACATTCGCTCAAGTGGTAAGATGCAAATTCAACTTGGGGAAGAATTTTGAATTGAAAAAAGAAATTTAAAAACCCAAGTGTAGGACCTGGCACATATAAGAGGGTTTTAAAAACCCTAATGTACCTTGATCCTTGTATTGCCTTGGTGCTGGAAAGTTTTCCTGCTCTCACATACAGGGAGCATTAGGTTCTGTGGCAGAGAGAGATTGGTTTGGTTTGTTTGGTTGGTTCTCTTTTTGCCTATCATTGATCTCACTAGCCTCTTTAGGTGTCATGTTCCTTAGGTTTGTGTTGATTTTTAAGTTCAGAACTCTGTTTTAACACCCTACCTAGTAGCTCTGTCATTAGACTGAGAACCTGTTTCTACAAACACTTCCGATTTTCTATGAAACTACCAAGCTCTCCCTTATCAAGTGAATATCATCAAAACCACAGCATCCTTGATCACAGAAGGGGAGGCTCATTTGTCAACAGTGAAAAGCAGTGTCTTTGATCTGCACTAACAACTTAGAGAAAGGCTGTAGGGTTACTTGACCTTCTCTTAAGTGCAGCAGGGCTTCCCTTCTAGGCCTCAGACCAACAGCTTTCCATCACTGCTTCCTCGCAGAGTGCAGATCTGCCTGAGGCAAAAGGCAGTCTATTTATAGGTTTAGATTTTGTTGCTGTTTTGGGGTTTATTTTTCTTTATTCTTTCTTTTTCTTTTTTTGGTGTTTTTAAGATGCAAATCATACCCCTCCCCAAGGAAATAGATTATACTGAACTAGTTTCTGACTAGCCTCATCAGTAACCAATCTTTTGTAGCATTGTGTGTTAAAACAAAGAATTTTGTGATTCTTCAGCATTACAGCTTCTCAGAGAAAAGTTGGAAGAACCTGAAAAATTAGAGCGGGGGTGTGGCTGAGAGAATGTAATGCTGAGATCCACTGCAGATGTGTAATTACTACACAACAAGTCAGGGCGGTTTTAGCCTACACTGCTTTCGTTACTGTTCCATCTCTCTTGAAGCCACTCCCTCTTGTCCCTGGGGCATGCATTTAAAAAAAAACTGGTATTGGAATGTATCTCTCTAATTACAACCTGTTTTCTTTCCTTGTGCCTTAGGGAGAGAGGCATTAGGAAATCAAACCTGTTCTAGCCACTGGAATCCCATTTCCTCTATTTTTCACTCTTGCACCCTCCCTGTGCACCTGGAAATATTGGGGCTAGGTGGGTACCCCCAGATTTGAAGAATGTGTTGATAGCATGCCCCATTTGTTCTTTTTTGTCTATTGAAGCCCCAAACAACCAGCCACCTGGCAGCCTGGAATTGGGGCATCCATAAGCCATAGAAACTGATATACTTTTCCAGGATAACAGAAATCTGGACTTTCACTCTGGAAACACTGGCCTGGAACAGTAGTGACCTAACACAGTATCTTCTGCCTGAAGGCAGTTAAACCTACACTGATACTTAACTAAGTTCCAGATCCTAATCAAGAAGTGATAGGAGAAGCAAAATATCATTCACTTTTCTTTTAGGCATAATACATAATTGCTTATTACATCCTAGTTATATTATAGACAATTCAAGAAAGCTGGAGTCATTAATTCATAAAGAACATTTACTTACATAGATCAGATGTTTCAGGTTTACTTTGGTGATAAAGGACTAACACTTATTGAATGTCCACTTAAGGGAGTTACTTTTGCTTAGTGTTTTTTTGTGAATTGTTTCAGTTCTCCCAGTTCAATAAAGTATATGTTTAAATATCCATATTTTACAAATGCTAAAACTAAGGATAACAGCAAAGTCAAAGATTGGTCAGAGTGGGTTGAATACAGTTAGTTACCTGTTGAGCAATTTTTTCAAGAAGCAATTCCTGAGAGATTGAGGTATTGAAGTATAGGTCTTATTTAATATATTGTGTATTCATTCATTTATTCAACAGATAATATATTAAGCCCTAGAGACTCAAAAAGATATAAAAAGGTTATGGGTGTGTTCTTTATCTCTAGGAACTTAAATTTAGCTGGAGCTTTTGAGGTTTATTGCAATTCAGAATGCATTGTGGAACATGATAAGCACTCTGAAGTAGAGCTGTGTGGATTTAGATTATGGAAGCCAGATAGCTCATGTCTAAGATGGTTGGGTGATAGTTCAGCTATATTTGATCTGTGTGTTTGTGAAAACTGAGATAATACATGCTGATTGCAATGTAGCAGTAAAATACAGATGTTTATAAAGTAAAGCAAACATTCTCTTTTCTTTTCCCCACAAGTCTGCCCACTATTAACAGTGCAGGTTAGATTATTTAACATTTGCTATTAAAAGTACTAATATATTCAGAATCTCATTTTTGTCATTAAAAGGACCCTATAAAACACATGGTTAATTATATTTTACTGTCATACTTGAATAAGAAATACTGGAAAGATCAGAATATACTGGTAAAAATGGTTACCTGTCAGGTTGGGGCCAAGGATAGGCTTGAGACCTTCCATCTATCCCTCCTACCCTGTTCCAGTATTTTATATTTATCTTTTAGAAAACTTCACATCTGTAAAGAATTAGAAAAAATAGAACAGTGGACACCCATGTACTATATCTAGGTTCAGTAATCATTAACATTATTGTCATATTTGCTTTATCTCTCTATATAATTGCAAATAAGACACAGACATGATGGCATTTCACCCCTGTGCATGTCAGCCAGCATGTATTTCCCAGGTACAAGGACAGTCACCATAACCTTGGAAACATGACCACACCCAGGAAGTTTGACATTGCTCTAATGCAGTTATCTAACATATGGTCAATGTTAATTGTTTTAGTTTTCATGAGTCCTGTCTTATCCATTTTATAGATAAGGAAATTGAGGCACAGAAAGGTGAATTATTCAGAGTCCCACAAATAAGAGGTGGAAGGCAACCTTTTGAACGTAGGAAAGGCCTTTTATTTATTTCCATCGTACCAGAGGAGGGGTCAAAGATTAACTGGTTACTTCACCAAACTGTAAGGTACCAGAACTAAAATTCAGACCCAAATCTTCTAGACCTGGGTTTCTTGGTGACTCCAAGAAATAATACTCCAAAGCAGTATTATTTAAACTTATTTTTAACAGCAAACGTATGTTTTTAAAGAAAATCTTGATATGCTATTTCAACGTGTTATATATAAAGCAGGGCTGCTGCAGTCAATTAGAGTAGAGAATGCTGCTTCTTCACCATTGCTCTTGGGTTTGTCCTCCTTTGCTAGTCTAAATGTATTTGGAAAATGCTAAGTATCATATTTCCTTCTTGCAGCTTTACAGTGTGTCTTTAGCATGTGTAAAGAATGAGATAACCTCCAGTTTATTTTAAAAAGAAAAAAAAACTAAACTGTTCAGGAGATTGGACCTTCTTCTACTCAGTTCTTGAGAACACATAGAAGTGGTATTTTGCTTTTGAGTGTATATATATGCTCTTTTTTTTTTTCTTAAAGATTATTCATACAAGAACTGGAATATAGGTCAGAGGTGGGGGTGGGGGTATCGGTGAGAGGGATTCACCAGAGAGTGGGGAGCAGCAGGCAAGACAGCAGAGGTCTGCTGTACCTTGTGGGTCACCTCCCTGGCAGGGACTTGAACTTGTGCTGCAGTGACCATGGATTGCTTCATAGTGCTGCACAGGGAGGCCCTATATATGCTCTTAATACAAAATCAAGATTCAAAAGAGAACTTTAGCCTATGTTAATAGGCGCCTGCAGAAGTTGGCCTGACACACTCTTGACTGTACTTAAAATATATACATCTGTTTTCCTTAAATTTGTGGCTTTAAGAGGTGGGGTGGGACAGAGGGAAAGCTACGGAGGTCCTGCAGAACAGTTTTCTGTGGACATAACTTCTGGCCTTGCTGCTCTAGCCTTGCACCGCTCAGATCTCTGTGCCTGGAGAGCTGCAGTCCTGTCCACTCTGGAGTTTGTCTAAGGAAGGCAGCTGGTGGGAGCTGTTTCTACCCACACCAGATCTTTTGCACTTTTTGTGTTTCTTCTCCTAGATCACTGTACTTTTCACTTACTGGGTCTTTCTTGTTTTTCCTTCTCCTTTATCTCATGTCAAGAATATAAAGAGCCCATCAGACTTCATCAGTGATAGAAGCCACTCATCCCTCCCAGGAGCCCAGAGTCTCTGAAGCCTCAGATGAACTCTTGGTCCTCTCACCCAACCCAGTGTCTGAAGCCTTGCTTATGCTCTGTGTAACAGAAGATCTTTGGGGAGCCTTGAGAATTTGTGAGCCTCTGAAGTTGATATGTTTAGTCCAGTGTTGGTTTCTGTTTAGAGCTTCAAATGTTAGCAAGTGAACTTGAGAGTGATAGGTGTAGGGTTAAAGTCTCAGTGCTATCAAGCTATCCGTAGCCACTGCAGCCTAAGTTCAATCCCTGACCAGGGAGGTGACACACATGGCACAGCAGGCCTCTGTTGTCTCATCAACTGCTGCCCTCAGCAGTATATTTCAGTTCATCTGCCTGTTCTGCTACACATTCTTGTCTCTTGTGAATCTTCTCACCCTCTACACCTCTGCTCTACACCCCAGTTCCTTGTATGCATAAATAAATCTTAAACAGCAACAATTTGTCCTAACAAACATGGCTTTTTTTTTTTTTTTTTAATCTTTTCTTAAAATTATATGATCTGGCCCTCCCTGGTGGCGCAGCGGGTTAAAGCACAGCACTGAGAATCTAAAGCCGCTTCCTCATGAGTTCGATTCCCGCCTGCCCCGGAGGTGACCACATGGCGTGGCAGACCTCTCCTGACCCGCCCGTTGCTCCCCTCAGCAGTGTACTTCGTCGATCTGCCTGTTCTGTTCCCCACTCTGTCTCTGGTGAAGCCTCTCACTGCCCCTGAGCCTCTGGCCTGTACCCCAGTTCTGTATGTACAAATAAATAAATCCTTAAAAAAAAAATTCAAAAAAAAATTATATGATCTTACTCACTTCCATATATGTGAGATACAGGCACAGGGTCTTTGGTCTCTTAATGTAGTGCTTTACAGACATGTCATTTTTAGGGCTGTTTGTTTTAGGGGGTGTTTTATAGATGTGGCCAAAATTATGAAAGAAAGGACTCTGGAAAGTTAATAATTGAAATAGACGATCTGTCACAGAATTTAGAGTTATAGAAAGGAAGACTCTTTATGTCCCTTCATCACTGAACTAATACTTATTGAACACTCACCAACTGAACCCCTAGAAACCTGATTGTGAGCAATTTGCACTCCCTGCCTGCCCTCTTGGAATTAGATAAACAAGTAAGTGGTATTTCACATAGGGAAAAGTGTTGTGAAGATAAGGGGAGTAAGGGACTAGAGAAAGATGGCAACTAAATCAGGTAGAGAAAGTCCTGTTGCTCCTAAATATCTTGTCCTCGTTTACATGAGTAAAAGTGCCGCTAATGACTGAACAGACCCCTAAAGTGGCTTTGTCTTCTCCATCTCAGGTGTGGTTCCCCAGAGTGCGCCACCAGTGCCAACCGCTTCTTCCCGTTTCCATTTCCCACCTCTCGACACCCATTCTCCAACTGGTGATGTGCAGCCAGGGCGCTTCTCTACTGGCTCCCTGACTGCTTCTGGCCAGGAGTCAAGTAATGGTGCTGACAGGAAAGTGGAGCTTTCAGAGCTGGAGGAAGGCTCTGCTGCTGACTGGCGCCGCGGTGTGGATCTCATGTCCTCCCGGAATGCTGTTGGTGGTGGAGGGATTGGCCATCAGAAGCGCAAACCTGACATAATGCTTCCTCTGTTCACTCGGCCAGGGATGTACCCTGACCCCCACAGTCCCTTTGCTGTCTCTCCAATCCCTGGCCGAGGAGGGGTCCTTAATGTCCCCATTTCACCAGCTCTCTCCCTGACTCCCACCATCTTCTCCTATAGCCCATCACCAGGCCTGAGCCCCTTCACCAGCAGCAGTTGCTTCTCTTTCAACCCCGAAGAAATGAAACACTACCTTCACTCTCAAGCCTGCTCTGTGTTCAACTACCATCTGAGTCCCCGGACATTTCCCCGGTATCCAGGGCTCATGGTCCCACCACTACAGTGCCAAATGCACCCTGAGGAGTCAGCCCAGTTCTCTATCAAGCTGCAGCCCCCGCCAGTTGGACGGAAGAATCGCGAGAGGGTAGAGAGTAGTGAGGAGTCTTCACCTGTCACTGTCCCCACCATGGCTCCTGGCCCCCCGAGAATTAAGGTGGAGCCAGCCCCTGAAAAGGATCCCGAGAGTCTCAGGCAGTTGACACAAGAGAAGGAGGAGCGCTCCCAGGAAGAGGGCACTGTGCCGACCAGGACCGTAGAAGAGGGGAAAGGCACCATCTTTGCCCGCCCGGCTGCACCACCTACCTGGTCCTCAGTGCCCACTAGCACCCCAAGTGAAGAACCTCCAGAGGTGACTGAAGACAGTGAGGACAGGCCTGGCAAAGAACCCAGTGCTCCTGAGAAGAAGGAAGATGCCCTGATGCCCCCCAAGCTTCGGTTGAAGCGGCGCTGGAATGATAACCCTGAAGCCCGAGAGCTGAGTAAGAGTGGCAAGTTCCTCTGGAGTGGGCCAGGAGCCCGGGGCCTGGCCACAGCAGCTGCAGATGCCTAGAACTGGAAGTGGATGGAGAGCTGTTTATACTATAATCAAATACATACGTGTATTTATGTAGCAAGATTTTGGGATAGGGTGGGGGGAGGGCATTATTAGACTGGTTTGATCATTCTAGGGGAATAGACTTGTATTTTTGTTTGGGGATGGGATGGGGTATCTTCAGTTGTACATTAGGTGGGATGTGAACACACTTCTTTTCCTGGTGAGTAGGACACGGGAAGGGTATTGAACTGAAAGGAGAAAGAGCCTCTGTTTCCTGTTGAGGCTTATACTTTCTGACAAACTCCCAAAGGGCCAAAAGACTGGTCCCGTGATAGTTCAGGTTCCAGACTTCTTTCTTTTCTATTGTATTTATATATGGAAAGCCATTAATGAATTTATTTTGCTCTGAGAGATATACATAAAAGGGAAAGGACATGGTTGGGAGGTGAACAAGTGAAAGGCCATTAATAACTAAGTATTTTGTACGAAATGTTATTTCAAGGGAGGAATAAGATAATTTCAGTCTAATAAGGGGGGAGGGGGAATATCCAGATTTTGCTCTTTTTTCCTTTGTTGTTTGGCGTTTTTCTTTTCCTTTAAAAAAAAAATAGTTTTCAGGAAACATGAAGTGGACTGCCAGAGTGGGGTGGAAGGCGCAGGAGCTGAGCTTCGCATGAAACAGCATGCCTGCTCTGAATTTCTTGGACTTTTTACCTACTTCACCTATTCAGAAGCCATGAGGAGTTGTAAACTCTTGTTCAGGGAAGAAAGAAGAGGCAGGACAAAGTAACCCAATGCCTTTAAACACAAAAAATGATCTTCACGCTTACCTTTCCGTTGTGGGTTTGGGGAGCCAAACCAAAGTGTGACTGAGCAGTTCACCAAGAGGCATGACAGTGTTGATGATGTCTTTCCATTGTGTCTGGTTCTCTCGCCGTTTCCTTAAGTCGAGCCTTAACAGTGAACATACTGGCAACATGATACGGGTCTGTCAAACCTGTAAAACGACGCATGCAACTGTTCGGGTCATCCAGGAATGTGGAAACATGAAATTTCGCTTCAGCATTTTGTCGTGCCCTCTGAATGTTACTGGGATGGGTAGTTGAAAGGCAGGACTGTGGGAGTGAAGGCGAGATGATGCCCAGAAATGCAGAAGGTAGCTGAGGTCCAAGTGGATGTTGGTTGAGATTGAAGAGAGAAGTGGACAGAAGACACAGAAGGCAGCCAGATGCCGAAGGCCTGGTGTGACTGAAAGTTGGTTTGTGTCCTGTTGTGGTTTTGTCATTCTTGCCATTCCCATGTTCCTCACTTCTTCAGATTCTCATAATTAGTTGATCCTCCTACATGAGACTCCAGTTTATGGACAGTGAGGAATTGTTTGTGGGGAATTTCCTTCCAACAGTTACAACGGAAGGGAAAAGTGATGCTCTTACATGAAGCAAGACGGGCCTGGACTAGGGACAGAGAGAAAGAAGCTACAGCCAGCTCTGTGTGTGTGATGGGTGTAGGGGGGGAGACGAGTGTAACTAGTGTACAGAAATAACTGGCTCAGATCGCCTGGCAGCAGGAAGAAAAGAACTAACTTCATAATCTGAACAGGGCAAGGAGCTGGGCACAGGGATGCACTCGGGGTTGGAGAAATTTCTGGCTTCACCTCATCCGAAGTGAACTCTAGGAAGCATTTGAGGGATGTGTCTGCTGGTGGGGGTGGTATTTCTTTTTTTAAACTGGAGTGCGTGTATGAGAAAGTCTCAGGAAGCTCAGAGCAGGTGAGTGAGTTCCTATGTGCTCTGGGGTGGTAAGTTTGTCGTGCTGTTTTATGGCAAGTGTGTTCCCCTTGTTTGATTCAGATCTAATGAGTGATTTGTCTTTCCCTAATGAGTGGTTTGGGAGAGTGGACCCTAGCAACTCAGGCTTTCATCAGGCTGCCTTTGGTTGGTTGTGTTTTTGTCACTTTCTCTGCACCTTGACTTACCTCTAATCAGAATGCAAGCCCAGGCAGGTGGGGGAGGGACTGTTGCTTGGCATTGCCCGATCTAACCAGGGAGGCTGGCTAGCCACCCTCTGTCCACTGGAGGTGGGCGCCAGTAGGTGTCGGTATGATCTCAGGAATAGAAACACGAGGCCTTTTAAGTAAAAGGGAGAAAAAAATCCATGATGCATACCTGTAACCCCCTAGAACCCAAGTGCCAGAATTCCTAGATGCTGCTTCTGTTTGAACAAAAAGTCACTGCTTTTACACTTGAAAAAAAAAAACACTCAAAAAAAAAATGTTCAGCTCCATGAAAAATGTTTCTTTGCTTTAAGAAATTGGTGTTCAGTCATTTCCCTTGATTGCCATCCCACCAGTAAATTGTTGGTTGAATTTTCACTGCACACTGGGGTTGAGGGGAGGGTCCTTACACAGACCGAATTTGGGCTTGCTTAGCAATTGAACCTGGAACTATAGAGGTCTTTGATATTTCCTGGAGTGCAGGGGTTGAAGGTAATTTCTTTCCCCCCAACCCAATACTGGAGCACTCTTCACCAGCCTGGGTCAGAGCTGGGCCTTCTCTTCCATGAGCATCTGATCACTGTCCAGCAGATTGACGGGGGGGGGGGGATGGAGAGACCTTTCTCTCCCCCAGTTTTCCAAATTTTGCTGTGCCAAATGTTTAAGACTTTGCAATTACAAATCTTAAAACTTCACTAATCGAAAACTTGTTCATGCAGTTTGTTTTTAAATTTTAGAAAATAGTGGAGGCCTCTTGGGGGCATCCATCCAGCCTTGCTGAGCTCGTGCTCTTCTTTTTTTAATAATGGCTAGGAGTGAAAAACAAGTCGCCAAGTCCCTTCAGCCCCTGTTTTCAAGCTGCACTGCATTAACCCAACTTGTCAACTAAGAGAATTATTGCTCCCTGGTCCTGCATGGGCCAAGATACTTTCTGAAGCATTAAAAAAATGAAGTATATCACTTCTCATCAAGCGGGTAAGGTCAGTTGGCTGTTTGTCCCTTGTTTTTTATTTATTCCATAATTATGTTTGTGCTTTTTGTTTGGTGAGCAGTAACGGAATATTTTAATTTTAAAAGGAAAAATACTTTGATCCAAACTTTTAAGAACTTCCTTTTTTAGTGGGGGCAGGGGAGGGAAGGTAAGTTATCAGTTAATTTGTTTTGAAATATTTAGGCATTCTTGAGTTATAAATTGTGATGCAGGGATCTGTGAGTGAGACATTCACATATGAAAGATGACTTCACTAGTTATCCGCTTAAGCAGAATAAAGTGTGTATATGTACATAAAATGTAAGTAATATGAACTCCATTGTGCAGTGCCTTTTAGATGTTCCGCTTTCTATAAAGTCTTCAAATTTTTGCATATATATATTATATATATATATGATGTAATGTTATAGAAATATATGTATAATATACATATTTTTTCCAGGGGTATCTGATAGCTCTGTATTTTGTTATGGAAGTTGAAAGAAAAACGTATTTTACCTCAGAAATTAAAGTTAAATAAAAAAAAATACTTTTAAGTAACGTTCACTAAGTGTTGGTTTTATGGTTGACACACTGAGCCGAGGTGGTCATGCCAGAGAACTTGCCAAATGCTGCTGCTTGCCCAACTCCCCCCTCACCGTTGTTGCAGGATGCCAACTGAGGAGATGGGGTTCATCTCAACACTTGGGGAGCTTGTTGGTTTCCTTGTATCAGTGACTGCTTCTAGATAAACAACTGGAGCCAGGGACAAGAGGCAGTGGGGAAATTTCTGCCTCAGTTGTTTTGGAAGCCCTTGGATGTACATGGCAAAGGCAGACACAGCAGGCTGGTACTTTGTATTTCATTTTATATGAAATATCCAGAGTGCAGACCCACAGAGAGAGAACAGGTAAGCGAAATAAGTGGAGATGGTTGTGGTAGCTGAATGCCAGTGGTCACATGGCGGGAGGTGATGAAAATGTCCTTCGGTGGTGGTAGTTGTACAATAAATAGGTCATTGATTGACAGTCATAATGTGAACATCTCAAAAGGTGGTTTTGTTGGTGTTTTTAAGTACTAATAAGCTAGAACTAAGGAAACCTAGTATTTCCAGTAAAGGGCAAGAACCCAGAGAGGGTAGGCCACCCTGGTGCGGGTGTTGAGTAACGTGTAATGCACCCTAAGAAAAATGGTACCAGATGGAGTCATCTCATTTTACCCTTGGGAGATAGACAAAGTGACCTGAAGATGCCAGCATTTGCAAAATTTGACATTATTTTTAAAGGTTTTTTTGTTGTTGTTGTTGTTTTTAATGTATACAAAACTGGGACACAGGCCAGAGGTGCAGGGGCAGTGAGAGGATTCACCAAAGACAATGGGGAGCAGAACAGGCAGATGGACAAAGTACACTACTGAGGGGAGCAGCGGGTGGGCTAGGAGAGGTCTGCCACGCCATGTGGTCAGGGACATGGGATGGAACTTATGCTGAGGTGGCTTTAGCTTCTTAATGCTGTGCTTTAACCCGCTGCACCACCAGGGAGAACCCAAATTTGACCTCGTTTAGTCATAAGTTAAGAAAGGCTGACATTGAGCAGGGGCGAGACTGGAGCAAACTAGAATGGAATATGGTCTTGGGAACACCTAAATGGTTTACCTTTTATTCTGCTAGCAGTGCCACCCCCAATAATGTTAAAAGAGAATTTTAGCAAGGCTAATGAGCATGAAGGCCACAGGCCTGAAAAAGCTAGCCTGTGCAGTTAATTGTTCAAGATGAGCATTAAATTTTAGGTGGGAACAAGTGAAAGTGACAGAAGCTAACTGACTGCTACCTGAAGCTGGGGATGAGCTAGCTAAGAAGCAGACCCTCCCACTGGAGTGTCTCCTGCTTTTTCCCCTTCCTCAATGCTGCTACTGAAAGAAGAGATGGGTTAGAGGGTTAGAAAGGAAATATGATACAGTTTTGAGAGCAGGCTCCCAAGTGCATGGTCTGTCATCCTATGTTAACCAACTCATAAGATTAGATGGCAGTTATTCACATTCTGAGCAAAGGAGTTGGGGGGGTAGGGGGGGAAGTAAAGAGATGGTCCCTCAGAGGGAAAAGGGGAATAGGGAGGGAGGGTCAGAGGATAAAGGGTCAGAAGGGTCACAGCTCTTCAGGGAGTGGGGCATAAAGCACTCAGTAGCTCCCCACAATCTCCCTGTTTAGCTTAAGAGGCCCTTCATAATCTGGTCCCTACTTAGCCTTCTAGCCTCATCCTATTTTTCTTATTTTTTTCTTAACCACACGTGTGCCTGTATACTCTTCCACCTCCACACATAAAGCCTGAACTGCATGAGTGCATAGATATCACCACTTGGTGACATAGTTACCAGGCATAGTTACAGCTATGGCCAATCTAAATCTGCATGAGCTCCTCTGAGGTCAACACCCATTTTACTGAGAGGAATGCTGAGTCACAAGAGATGGTAACTTGTGTGACTAGAAGTCAGACCCCAATACCTGTACTCTTAGAGTCTTTGTCAGGACTCAGTCATGTTGGAACCCAGGTCTGATGAGCCTCTTCTACCTGGTCACTTACACCATTTGTCAGGATTCAATTCAGATGTCTTTGACTCCAAACCCCTGAGCAGTGTTTGGCCTTCCCTGGGCTCTGCTTTATGCACTGTTGCAGTCCATGTTTCCCTCTGCACAAGCCTTCCACAGGTCATAATACTCAGGATGTCCTGAAGCCAAGGGCTGGTGGTATTTTGTTCATCTTTCCCCAGGCCTTACTTAGCACATTGCCTGGAGCTTGAGGATGCTTGATAAGTGTTTGTTGGATAAACAAATAAAAGTCTGAAAGGAACTTGACTGTCAGACCCAGCAGTCTGGTCCTGGAGTGAGGACAGGCAAAGGGACAGGGCTGGGCCTCCCAGGTGGCCTAGGGGTTAAGTCTCAGCATTATCACCTTGATAACACACCAGGGAGCTGACCCATGTGGCCCAGGATACCTCCCCTCAGCAGTATATTTCAGTAGATCGACCTGTTCTGCTCCCCACTGTCTCTGGTGAATCCTCTCACCGCCCTGTATCTCTGCTACATCCCAGCTCTTCTACACAAAAATTAAAGTTGTTTTTAAAGATCTATTCATTTATGCATACAAGACAGAAGTATGGGGGATGAGAGGATTCACCACAGACAGAGTGGGGACTAGAACAGGCAGATAACTGAAATGCACTGCTGAGCGGAGCAGCAGATCAGACAGGAGAGGTCTGCCGTGCCCTGAGTGAGGGTCAGCTTCCTGGCAGGGGTTTGAACTCATGCTGCAGTGGCTGCAGATAGCTGAATCATGCTTCATTTTAACCCCTGTGCCCCCAGAAAGGCCCCATCAAAGATAAAATCTTAAAAAAAGGGACAGGGCAGATGGCTCCCAGTGCACACAGGCCCAGAGTGGGGGCGCTGCTGAGGCCCCTCTTCCAACACTGCCTCTCCCCTTCTCCAGGACAGTTTCCTGAGATGAGCCCTCCAGAGGCATCTTCAGGCTCTCTCCCACCTCTCTGCAACTGAACCTTCTCCCTCCTGCCTGCAAACCTGCCTCCACTCAGGGACACATGGGTACTTGGCTACACCTAGGGTCCAGACACTAGTTCTAGCTTCATTCACCCATCCCTGGTTGGTCCTACCAAAACCAAAAACCCCAGTGAGACTAAAGCAGCTGAAAACCCCCAAGAAGCCTGTGCTCTGACATCCCCATCATGGTGCCTATTCTCTACAAAGCTTCACATTACTATTCCAGGGGCCCCTCTCAGGTGGAGACTCTCCCCTGCTTTACAGATAAGAAAAGTGAGGAACAGAGGGGATCACCCATCCTACTGGCTCAAGCAACTTTTCCCTTCATTCATCATCATCGCCTTGGATCACATCGTCTTGGATCTGAGGCAGGGGTGAAGCACTTTTTCCCCTAACCCCCTAAGAATCAGACCCAGAACTGGGAGCAGTGGCAGTGACCCAAGCTTAGTATTTCTCCGGGGTGTCAGACCTTGTGTCCCAGTCTGGAGTACACAAGGGGGGTGGGGGAGGGGCGCAGGCCCTGCAGTAGGCTGGGGGAGGGATCCTGGTCCATCAGCCTCTTGGGGTAGTGAGCTGACCAAGACTGGATGAAGATCAAACATAAAAGCCTCCCCAGGACACAAATGAGCCCAACCCTGACTCCAGGGCAGTGGGCAGTTTGAAGGGGCCGGGGGACTCCCCTGGTCTTCTGTCTCCAGAATCTGGGGGTCTGGTCTAAGCAGACAGCCCAAATAATGAGCTGATTTAGAAGCGAGTCCAGGCCAAGAAGCAGAAGCCATCCTCTCCCAGGGCTGCTCCACCCTAACTTAACCCCAAGACTGGTCTAGATCAAGTTTCAACCTTGGTCCCAGTGAGCGCCATGGGGGGAAGCATTGCCTGGCCTCTCTCCTGGAGTCCGCAGGGACCTCCCCAAGGAGGGGAGAGGAAGAGGGCGAAAAGCAAGCACCCTCTCTCCAGGTCAGCCTTGACACCAGGGTGCTGCTTGTGTCGTTAAGACTTCCTTCTGTTTTTCTCCCCAGGTTCCTCAAAGAGCAGCATGAGCAGGCACGAGAGTGAGGAACCAGCCATAATCTGGGTTTTTGAGATTTAAGCGCTTCTTTGACTTTTGCCCTCTTGGCAACTAACTGGAAGGAAAGGAGAGGGGAAATTGCGGTGTGCGGTACTGGTCTAGCTTTAGAAAATCTGTCTTTGGAATGTCACAGGTAAAGGAGTTGATTTATTCTCCTGCTCCCGGCCCTGCTGGGAAAAAGTTTTTCTGCACATATTGAAATGTTGGTCTTCTGCTGAACAAACAAGTCCTCCTACCCCCATGTTAAAAATAATATTTATCCCTCTTGTCACTTAACTTGTCTTGGTCCACAAAATTACTTACTTTATCCACAAAATTGCCCTCTGTGAAAGGGGCCATTATTATCCTCATTCTGTGGATGAAGTGAGGTGAATCGCCCAAGGTCAACATAATTGTAAGGGCCGGGACTCACCCAGAGTAACTCACTTTGTGCCATTGGGCAGTCACGCACAACACTCACAGCTGCCCCCGGACACTGGGGCCCCTGCTGTCTGAGGGCTATGGTTCCAGTGGAGGGGACAAGCGGCGCTATGAACAGAAATACAAGGCCCACAGCAAGGTGACAAGTCAGTCATGTCCTGAGTGCCTATGAAGTGCCTGGCTCTGTGCTGGGATTCCCCCACCGTCCCTGCCAGCCAGTTTGGGGTGGGGGAACGGGTCCTGCTCCATTGCTTTCCCCACAAAGACACAGCCCTGCTTTGACCCCCACCCAGGAGGCTGGAACTGCAGGACTGTTTTGGGCAGGCGGGAACCCAGGTGTTCCCTCAATACTAGGGCACTCCCTCTCTGCCCTGAGCCCTTTCTGAACAACAAGAGCATCCGAAGACCACTTCTAAACAAGGGCTGTCCCCTGATAAACAAGCACCCCGATAGAGGCACCCACACGGCCTACTTCAGAC